TTTTCTGGGTAGCATTCTATTCTCTAAACAACCATCCCAGAGCAGCCATCTCTGCATATACAGAGGCAATCACGTGATGCAAGTTATGTGGCAGTCGGAATACAACAGTGCCAAAAGTGGGCTCTCTAAGCTGACGGACGAGTGCAGTTTAGAATATGCATGAGGCTGTAGTCGGTGGATGATCACGCTTTCCGGGATCTGATCTCCTTGCAATCTCCATACGCGTCATAAAGGGCTTTTAGCAAAATCGCCAACAGAACTGATGACATGTAGTAATAACGGCAAGCAATGGATCATCTCGCAAAATTGGCGAAAACGTTACGTTTATTTCGAAATAACCGACAATGATTTCCTGACAATTGGGGCCGCGTAAATGGCGCGATAATACTTATAGATTTCGTTACAAAGACTTTTTTCGTATTTGAAAATTGTTCTTACAATAGGGATCGAAAGAAAGAAATAGTAACAGTTATTTTAACTCTACATTGTGACACGGTTTTTTAAGAGTATATATCTGTCGACATATGTGTGTTACATATGTGAAGAAATATCATACGTGAAGAGGAAGAAAATCAAATTAATAGCAATCTATTTTAAGGTACAATAAGAGTTACGATAAGAAAAAAAGAAAAGTAAAAAAGAAGATTTAATTTATCGTATAAATATTATATTATTAATCATTTATCGTGCATACACATTATTATGTATGTCTCCAACAATGATAATTAATCATTTAAAAGTGATTATCTTGCACAACATCTACTATTATGTCTTGACCAAGTTACATTGTTGTTTTAATATAACTAATCTGGAGAGTATATTCATTTAATATGGCAATTTCTACGGTTTGCAAAATTGATTATTAAAATGCTCGAGACGCGACGTAGCCAATATAAATTGTTGGGACGATTTCGAGCGATTTTGAAACTCTGCATGGGTATTATATTCTATCACGCCTTTGTAGTGCGTTATCGAATGTATATCCAATTCCATTGCACTGGAATTAATAGAGAACCGAATTTCATGCTGAATTTCATATGGAAAATTGAATATTCCGTGTGCTTGAGCAGCATTATAAATTTTTCGATGGCAATTTTGCAATTATCCTCTAAATATTTTCCGATTATCGAAAAATCATTAGCTCATTTTTGTCAAAGAAATACAGAAATGAACCAATTTTAACATCAAGCGCGGATGGCACATATCTTTCGCGTTTTGAATTTGCACAAATTTATCCCGCAATTTCAAAATATTCTACGCTGACCGTAGCACGAAGCAGTTACTTATAATAGAGTCGATACTGTACAGGCTACATCGCTACACACTAATCGCACGGATTAATCAGCAAGGCCACGAGAAAATTATTCCAAAGTTTTCGAAATGCTGTCAGACGTAGAGCATCGTGACTGTCGTAAATCTTACGAAAGAAATTTGCTTACTTACAAAAACAATCCCGGGGTGAAGTAAGCTAGCGCGGCCAAGGTACAGGAGAGTTAAGGTAATGCGTAGCTAATGCGAATTCCACGCGGTAAAGTTTTATTAAATTATATTCCACTCGGCGAATTCAAATTATCTCGGATACTGCGCTGGCGAGGGTATGCGTATATATCACCTGGACCGAGAAAGAGAGAGGGAGAGAGACATGTTTGTGTGCGCGTACGCCGGGGTAAATCATGGAAAGTGGACTACACAGGATTTTTCTCCTACATTTTTATTTTGCGTGCAACGTCGAGTATCGCTGGACGTACCAGTACGGTATCGTAATATACCTCCATATAAACGTGGATCGAGGAAAAAAGATAAAAATTCGGTACAAGCAAAGCTATTAACCCCGTAAAAAAGCTTCTGGAAAACAAAATTTTTTTTCGAAAAATTATATAGAACGACGTTTTTAAGGATTGACAGAGAGCCGTTTAAAGGTCTCTCAAAAGTATCTCTTAAATCTTTATATTTTCTTTTAATTAGAAAACTGTAATGTAAAACTTGATGGGAAGTCTGTCTTGGTTTTCTGGTAGGTAATAAGTTTGCCTCCTATCTTCATTGCATCGCGCGCGATAACGGAATGCTACTCGCTCGTTGCATGAATTGTTCTTTATAAATATTACGCATGCATTCGGGACGTTTTCGGAAAGTTTTCACCTCCTTTTTCCTTCTCTTGCCTCCTATTTCCTTTTTCTCAGTCCTCCTTTTATTTTCCCCGCAGACTTCTCGCGTTCTATCGCCGAGATTGGCATTCTTGCGCGAGAGACCAACGCGAGCCGAGCCCTTTCCATCAACCCTTGCTTTCGACGATCCGTTGCGATGGCGAGAATGCGGAATTGCGGCCGGTAAGGATGTGCATTTCCCCGCTTAAGTTTAAATTGTGTATTCGAGGAAACGCTTCGTCCAACTATTCGAGCAACTTTTAATACGACCGCCGCGCACGCCCGCCGCTGGCCGCTCGCGAAGTATGATAATCAGTCGGCTTTTCTGCTCGTAAATGGCAGGATAGCGGCGAGGCAGACAATTCCTCGTTCGATTTTAACTTTTCTTCAGAACGTGCGCTTTATGCATTCGATAAGAATAAGAAATCGAATTTGCGAGCGACGAGAATACATTCAGTATGGCCTAACGTTAAAAAGATGCTTGCAAATGCGCTCTTTGTGTCTCCAGAAAAACTTGGCTATCCTATTTTTGAAGTGTTCACTGTTATAATTAAAGCAATATATAATTTAAAGTAATAGTATATAATAATCTGTATGTATCCTCAAAATGGCGTGTTGATTTGTGATGCAGCGATTTATCGCCTGCAGTCACATCGATCTTGCATTCAGAAGAAACTAGTCCGAAGTCGATTTAAGAGTCTTAATTGGGCGGACGCGGGACGACAATCTCGCAAATTAGTGCCGAGTGCAACCTGTTGCTGGGACGGGATTTGTCGTTCGGTTTTAAGCTATGACAATTGAACTTACTCAGAAGAGAGAGAGAGAGAGAG